TAGAAATGGTGTAACCTATTTCATTCGTAATAGAAAACAAAATTAACAATTTGACACATATATTGGATCATTTAGATTAAAACCAAATGTACTGTACTTTACCGCAATTACAGACATCTCGATTATTCTATTTTATGGATAGAAAAAAGTATAATCAGAAAAAATTTAAACATTACGAAGTATATTCCATTAAAATTTGTTATATGATGAAATATTATGTGCAATCTTTTTATGTAACTTAAAATCATAAAAGCTTTAATTTTTAAATATTGTTGACTTTAGAACTTATTTCGATTCACTTAAACTCACGTGCTTTAATAAAGTTCATTAAAATTTCGATATGTTTCATTCATCTAGGTCAGTGTTTTTCAACCTTCTTGAATACGCGACCCCTTTACAAGTTAAAAGATTCTGGCAACTCCCCTGGGCCATATTAAAACTATATCAGTGATTTTAAAAACTACGTATTTAATTTTCTTTCTGTTGATACCTGAATATCAAGTGAAAAACCAATTGTATTGTAAAATAAACAAATACAGCCTTCTCAGTGAAATTGTAGTTTTGTTTATTGTAGTGTAGGAACTACAAACACTTGTCTTTATCTTTTACCCGCCACTCCCCGCGTAAGGTTTTGCGTCCCCCCCCTGGGGTCGCGACCTACAGGTTGAAAAACACAATCTAGGTGGTAAGAATTAAATCTAATTCAATAACAAGAAAAAATTTCATAAAGTAAATGACATGATGTACTTACACGAAGAAAAATTACTAATGCTTCACTTGAATCCTTTTCAGCAGGCAGTTCGATGATTGTGTGAATTTAATCCGTGATAAAAATTCTAAATATTTTAGTTGATAGTCTCTTTTTCCTCTTTTATTTGGCGCACCAAACAAAATAATGTTTATGCTTTCAAAGGACGGTATATTCTATAAATTATATTCAAACGTTCTTAATAATTACCATTGATCTGTATAATATATTGCGTTTAATATCACAAATAATAAAATTGTAGATAATAAATATAATTTAAGAGCAATAAATAAAGCAGAGAGGTAATTTTGAAGATTGCATTAACTTTTTTCTATAAAGTTTTATATTTAATAGCATAATCATTGTATTATTCAAATAAATATTCTGGATTCAATATCAAAGTGCGTGACCACATATAATACACGTGTGGAGTCATGAAAATCAATGAATATAATTTTGTAACAATCTTCACAAATTCAGATACTTTTACTTCATATTTCTGTAAATCAAGAATTTTACATTTATATCTAAGCATAATATTACTTTCACTATATTACTGAATACAGTAAAACCTGTCTATGGCGACCACCTACGGTTCCTTCAAAAAGTGATTTTTTAGACAGGTGGTCATCCAATACAGGTGGAATTGTAATGCCGTATTTCCGTACGTATTTTGCGCGCTTTTTAGAGAATATACACTAAGAAGGGATTTTTCGAAATTCCAGCAGCGGGGGGTGAGGTTGTTAACACTTCCCCTCGCGGGGAAGTGTCAACAATGAAAGTGTTAAGAGAAAGCAACATGCAAGATTTACAGATGCAGATGCAGTTTTCTCGTTTTTGCGGAAAATCGAACATTTTTTAACCAATCTAAAAATTCAATTTTAGATAAAGTGAATGAAAACATCGGAAAAGCTTATCTTAATAAAGTAAACTTATTTACATCTATTAATGTAAAAATAAAAAAATTTCAAAAATAATTTCGTTCTGGTGTTTTTGATATATTATTTCATATCATTGTAAGTGTTTTCATTTTTCCCAGATATTAAAACATTTAATAATTAATACACAAACCTTGCCATATTGTAAAAATAAAATTAATTAATTTAATTGTCATTTGGGATTAGAAAATTAATTTATTTAACATTTGAGATTACTATTGCCAAAGAAATTTTGTTTGGATGTTATATTATTTCAAATTGTCATGTTTTAATTTACTCAACAAATTTTTATTTTAAAAAATTATTACTACAATTTAGTACAACTTAATTTTATAATAATACTAGCTGCAAGGACCCGCTTCGCTGGGTTTCTCTTTGTATGTAATATAGTATTTTTTATATATAAAAAACTGCTTTCCTAAGTAATCTAGAATCTAGCTGCAAGGACCCGCTTCGCTGGGCAAAAAGTAACGATTGTGGAGATTAAAATAATTACATTGTAGCCAATCTTACCCGTTATCACAGAATGCAAGAATTAGGTTCCCCTGTTTCCAGACTAATTAGAGAATTTTTACGTCCAGTCAAACAAACTAATTTCAATTTGATCAATTTTCTGGAACGTTTACAGTCGTTCTATAATCGAACCGATTCGAATTTAAATTCAAATTTAAAACGGTTCGAACATTTTTAAAATCGAAATAGAAAATCTTCGAAGTCAACCACTTTAAGCCCCCATATCTCCCGCACCCTTATAGCTATCGAGACACAACCACCATAGTGCACGAATGGAGACTTGAGGCTACTACCACATACAAACACCATTCACGTGCGATGTGTAGTTTTTGCGGAAAAGTGAAATATAGGGACACACAGGTCCATTTTTATATATAGATATAGATGATCAAAATTAATTCGAATACGAAATCTTCTACTGAATAGATTATCTTCACTCGTTTATTCTCCGCACCACACAAAATAATGTTTATGCTTTCAAAAGAGAGTATATTTTATAAATTCAATTCAAACGTTTTTAATAAATACAGTACTATTGATCTGTATAAAATACTGCATTTAATATCACAAATGATAAGATTTTTGATAATAATTGTAATTTATGAACAATAAATAAAGCAGAGTGAAAGTTTTAAGATTGCGTTAATTTTTTTTTCAATAAAGTTTCATATTTAATAGCAGAATCATTATATTATTCTGATAAACAATCTGGAGTCAATAACAATGTGCGTGACTACTTTTCATACACATCAGGTATTATGAAAATCAATTAATATCATTATGTAATATTATTCATAAATTTAGATTTAGATATTTGATTTGAAATATCTCTAAATCAAGATACTTTACATTTATATCTAAAAAAAACATTTCTATGATAATAATTGACAGTGAGCCTTCGCAATGTTTCCGGACAAATGATACAACAAAGCATAAACACTCCTGGTTACTTTTAATATAAAATGAACCAATACAAGGTGAACAGATAAAAAAAAATCGTCATCACACCAATACGTGGACGCCATCTTTTCGTCCTTTTTCCCGCTCGTTTTAAAAACCAATCAAAAAATAAAAAAATAAAAAACGTTATACACGCGCCCCCTGCCCAAACATACACTTTTTTCTGAATTAATACGAATGACACCGAACAATAATCTATATCTATATCTATATCTATATCTATATATATATATCTATATATATATATCTATATATATATATAAATGGACATGTTGTCCCTATATTTCACTTTTCAGCCAAAACTACACATCGCACATGAATGGTGTTTGTATGTGGTAGTAGCCCCAAGTCTCCATTCGTGCACTATGGTGGTTGCGTCTCAATAGCT